TGACAGCTATTGGATGGTCTGTACAGTGAGTGACATTTGACAGCTATTTTATTGCCTGTATAGTGGGTGCCATTTTACAGGTATTTGATTGTCTGTACAGTGAGTGACATTTGACAGCTATTTGATTGCCTGTTTAGTGAGTGACAAATGACAGCTATCTTATTGCCTGTATAGTGAGTGACATTTGTCAGCTATCTTATTGCCTGTATAGTGAGTGACATTTGTCAGCTATCTTATTGCCTGTACAGTGAGTGACATTTGACAGCTATCTTATTGCCTGTACAGTGAGTGACATTTGACAGCTATTTGATTGCCTGTACAGTGAGTGACATTTGACAGCTATTTGAATGCCTGTATAGTGAGTGACATTTGACAGCTATCTTATTGCCTGTACGGTGAGTGACATTTGATAGCTATTTTATAAACTGTACAGTGACATATGAAAGTTGTTTTTATTGACTGTACAATGGGCGATATTTGACAGACATTTCTCCATCTTTATATTGATATTATAATACATATACTGACTACAAGAATGTTACTGGAAACTATTAACATTATATTTGACAAAATATTTGCATACGATATATGTAATTTCATCATGAGGTGTCAAATTACTGTGATTGTTAAGAGATTCGTGTTGCAAAAGTGCCACATGATATAATTATTATACCTAAGGGAAAAAAGAACAATGATTTGGTTACAATGTGAATAAAATTATACCAATAATGAATAACTCACTTTGGATACAAATCTGGGAAGTTTGGACTTGTAAGATATGCTGGGCTGGACGTAGCTGTAATCTGTAGATTAGTTGCACTGCAGGCTTGTGTGGTATCTACCGCAATCAGAAATTCAAACTCTTTACATCATCAGTCTCATTGCGGGCTAGTATATTAATTATTATCAAATGAACAAAACAAAAGATGCAAAGTTGAGAAAAAATGGCAGTAGTTAAAAAAGTATTTGTTCTGGTTAAAGTCTTTTCATTTTGCTAGCACTTTTTGAGAAATGCCGGGGCTGGAATCCACCGAATAGATTGTCAATTTCAATATAATGTGGCTTTAAACACGAGGTCTAGGTCTCTGTCATCTTCTCTATCTCTCCTTTTATTGCGTATTCGTTCTTTCATTCTTCGACATTCAATTTACAAATTATTTTATATTTAAAAGTGCACATCACATTTGTTATTGTATATTTATACATAGATATCACCAGACACTCAGCGAGATGGAACACAGTTGTTCAAATCTTCGTAAAACTATCCTGTAGCACTCTAGACATAAAATAACTGTATAAAATCTAATATCTATGCATTTACAAATACAGACCCCGAAGTGTGTAACATTCCCACAAATGTGTTGTAGATGCGCTGAAGTTCATTTATTTGGGATTGTTAGCATTTGATTCGTCAATTGTTTTTGTGTGCATTCTGCGTCCTTGTTTTTCAGTTTTCCTACTTCTATCTCAATTTTTCATTTCTCATTTGTAGTTATCACTGTTCCTTTTTTATTTGATTGTATATGGAGGGAACGTTAAACAATTCAGGGTCTGACTATATATCAACAGTTTTAACGACTAATTTAAGACCTACATGTACCTTAGTTCTGTGTTCCACATACTTCATAATGAATCCGCTAATACTATTTTCAGAACCTACCTATAAGTCTCTGTTCAACATATCTTACGATGAATCCACTACATCTACAACCTACCTATGGTTCTCTGTCTGACATATTTCACGATGAATCCACTACATCTACAACCTACCTATGGTTCTCTGTCTGACATATTTCACGATGAATCGACTACATCCAGAACTTACCTATGGGTCTCTGTTCAACATATTTGATGATGAATCCACTACTTTCAGAATTTGTAACAGAGAATCTCGCGATCACCACCTTTCCTGGGGCCACTTCAAAATTAGCCCCAACTGCCAATGTCAAATCAACACTATTTTCTGGGAAAAGTTTAGTCCCTGAAATGGTTCCTAAGACAGAAAAAACAATAATTTTATTTCAGCTTTTCCATCCATAGACTATATATTTCCTATCATCAATATTCATCTCAACATCACCTCCAATACTTTGTTCCAGTTCAAATATTTCAGTTTTTTTAGCATATTCAATGTGAAATGATATACCAGAACGTAAAAATGTGAAAGGAAACATTCATAAAGCAGTAACCAAGAGGAAGTGAATATTTTGCCTACCTTGGAACATCTCCAATGAATTCCCTGCAGTCAAGTTCTTGATTTCAATTGCTAGCAGTAGATTGGCAACATTGTCAGATGACTCAATTAGCCATATACATTGATAAGAACCGATAGGAATGGCGCTTTAATACAAAAAAAATGTGCAGTAGTCACACACACAATAAACAATTTTTTACATTTAATATCATTATGTACTGACTAATTCATTGTTTGATTTTTGACCATCTAGAATTCTTCAGTAGAATTGTTAACGTGATGTAAGGGACCACATGGTATTAATTGAGGACAGATTAATCTAAACAAATATCACTTTTCGAATATTTATAACCCTAATGTCTGTGTTTTTTAATATATCCTCTACACCTTCATCAAACACATACTTAATTCTCAGTGATTCTCACATGTAATACCTTCAAATGACCTAATTTATATACACGTTCACCAATCATATAACAAAGGCTTGATAAGCCTTGAATTTTATGTCAATTTAATAAATAACAGTTCTCTGATTGGCTGTTTTGAATGCTGTTAAGGTTCCTTCTGAATTTACCTCGTGGGCACACTAAAGCACTTTTGAGTTGAATATTTCCATAACTTCAAGAAACTGATTGTTAACATAAGATTACACAATGGTTTCTGTTACTCTTGGTCCAACAGATGTTTGTGTAACAGGAGCAGAAAAATGCACCGCCAGATTGGGGATCGAAACGAAGACCCTTCAAATTCTAGGCAGATGCTCTATTATATGAGCTAAGATGTACCTGGTAACTGATGATTGACACACAGTCTAGCTCCGCTACATTTGACTAAAACCACTTACCTTGGGTAGTTGTTGGGATAAAAAGGAGAGGAAAACTCCTGAATGTTTTCACTTGCTACAAGCCGGACTTGGCTTCCATTGCATGGAGGTCCTAATATATAACTTAATACAAAGCCATGCTTTTGTATAGCAGCATTTGAAATAAAGTCCAAAACAAAACTTTCACTGGTAAAATTCTCTGGTGATGTGATCAGTGTGTCACTACACTTTGTTGTTGTGGTCCCACTGGCATCTAAAATGCAATATAATTTCACATAATGAAGACTTTGGCTTATGAAAGTGACAAAAAGCAAAATATTTTTAAACATTTTGAAAAAAGAATTCATTTCAAATTGGTGAGTAAATGTGTATCTCATGAATAAGTATATTAAAGAATAGTGTGACCAAAGGGAGATGAATACAAACATAATAATAAAATGAAGCACCTCTCAACTCTAATTTATCATTGGTACATTCGATATGGTTGAGATGAAGTTTAAGGAAGACACCTCTGCCGGACCCTGCATCATTAATTCGCCACTTGCACATTAAGTTGCTGAAACAAAAAAGAAACATAATTTTTCTATAATTGTACCATCATGCATAACATAATATATGTAGCCTATAACACTCCTATAATTGTACCAGAATGTGTAACATACAAAGCCTATAACAGTCCTATAATTGTACCAGAATGTGTCACAAAGTCTATAACACTCCTATAATTGTACCAGAATGTGTCACAAAGTCTATAACACTCCTATAATTGTACCAGAATGTGTAACATACAAAGTCTATAACACTCCTATAATTGTACCAGAATGTGTAACATACAAAGTCTATAACACTCCTATAATTGTACCAGAATGTGTAACATACAAAGTCTATAACACTCCTATAATTGTACCAGAATGTATAACATACAAAGCCTATAACACTCATATGATTGTAACAGAATGTGTAACATACAAAGTCTATAACGCTTATTGTAATAATTATTACATTAAGCGCCATTATTACATTAAGAGTTGCATCAATCCCTATAATTGTACCATTGTGTAACGTACTTAGCCTATAACCCTCCTATAAACATACTTCCATGTGTAACATACCTAGTCTTTCATATTGCAATTGTACCACAGTATGAAATGTACAACATGAAAAATGATAAATGTAGAGATATTCATTCATTTATTAAATTAAAAGGCTATAATCTTATCACAGTTAGTAATATACCAGATATTATCTACTACTCTGAGAACATCACAAGCATCAAAATTACATAAAACTTACCTACTATACAATTGAGGGAAGTTGTTACTTGTAATGTACTGGAGGCTATCTGTAGCAACCAATGTCACGCCAGCGTTATCAGAACATGCTTGGCTATTATCTTTAAAAACAAAGATTAGTATATGTGTATTGTATTTACAATAAAGACTTCAAAATGCATTTTACTTCATGTAAAGGAAAGAGATATATATTAGTTTGTGATTGTAGAGAAGGCTAGTAATCTTGCCTGCCATGATTCAATACCACAGCTCAGGATATACAAATGAACTTTATATTGTTGATAAATTATAAACAAATGCACTTTATATTATCGATGAAATATTCATTATTGAAAATCATGACAAATATGATGCAGTTTTTGCACCTCTCCATTTCCTATTTTCACAGTGATTTATTCCTAGTTTGATTTCCTCATTCACCTCCGAAATTTCAAAACTTCCGGTCCCTAGTATAAGTGGTGAATCCTAGAAAAATGAAACAGGAGCTTGGTACAAAGATTTAATTGAATTGATTTGGTTGTACTGCATCTAATTCTAAATCTGTGTTTAATCACCAACCTTCTGTTCATTGTCAGGGTAGATATACTTCGTGGAAGGTAATTCCGACATTTATCAGTACGGGAAATCTACATTAACTATCACTATGGCTCAACACACATAAGCAGCATATAGGTTCCAGAAAATGTTCAAAATGACTTTCGATCAAAATATTTTCAAGAGGTTAACATTTTTCAGGGTTCATAAAATATCTTTACACAAGTTTCAAATTTCAAAAGTGGCCAACAGAGATGTTTTGACCTTTAAACTTGACTGATGACCTAGAAAACCTAATCAGAGATAATGTGATGTATAGTGTAATATAAAACTGTGAAGAAGTACATATTGTGTACACAGGCTTTATTATTTCAAAAGTGGTCAAGGGTGAACTTTGACCTTTAACCTTGATTAATGACCAATTGTAAACATTGGTAAGGTAATGCTTTGTTGTAAATCTGAATTAAATCTGCTTAGTGGTTCATGTTATATCTCGGACAAAACCCTATCTTAAATTGGTTAAGGATGACCTTTCATGTTTAAACTTTACCAATGATCTTTAAATTGTTATCAGTAGTAGACATAGCTATAGATAAGCTTTGTTGTGAAGATGAAGCTAAACTGTCAATGTGTTCATGAAGAGCGACCTTTGACCTTAACCATGACTGATTACCACAAAAATCTTCTCTGTTGTAGACCTTAATGGCATGATGATATGTTGTGAATATAACTAAAAGTTGGCCAGTGATTTGTGCAATATCTTGTACATAATCCTTTACTTTCAAAGTTATCATGGGTGACATTTAACCTACATCTGAAAGACTAAAGCCTTTTATATACAGATCACATCTACATCTGAGAGACAGATCACACCTACATCTGAGAGACAGATCACACCTACATATGAGAGACAGATCACACCTACATCTGAGAGACAGATCACATCTACATCTGAGAGACAGATCACATCTACATCTGAGAGACAGATCACATCTACATCTGAGAGACAGATCACACCTACATCTGAGAGACAGATCACACCTACATCTGAGAGACAGATCACATCTACATCTGAGAGACAGATCACACCTACATCTGAGAGACAGATCACACCTACATCTGAGAGACAGATCACACCTACATCTGAGAGACAGATCACATCTACATCTGAGAGACAGATCACACCTTCATCTGAGAGACAGATCACACCTACATCTGAGAGACAGATCACACCTACATCTGAGAGACAAGAACCTACACCTGACAGACCAAGTCTACATCTGAAAGACTAAAGCCTTTTATGTACAGATCACACCTACATCTGAGAGACAGATCACACCTACATCTGAGTGACAAGAATCTTCATCTGGCCAACCAGAACCGTAAACTAATCTACCAGATACATCTGACAGAACAAACAATTTATCTGATGACCAGACCCTACATCAGAAAGACTTGAAAATTTCTTTTACCGACTGATCTCTACCTTTTACATATTGAACGCTACATCTGACAGACTGGCACTAAGAATAACATACAACATACCACTTGAAGCAATGGAGAGATAATTTATCCGAAAGCCTTGACCTCCGGCTGATTCGACAATAAATTCAATAAATGTGGAGTTTCCTGTGGCGATCTGTATCCGCTCTGCTATTGTAACAGGTGCTGCATTTTCTTCAGGGTAGAGATTTGTTCCAGTCTTATCACATCCTGACAACAGATAAAGCATCTCCACATTTTATTACCGCAGATAAAAATATCATATTTTGTCATTTGAAAGGAAGACTGAAGCAAGAATCTTGGATACCAAAATCACATTTAATTATAAACTCTAAATAAAGAATTTTGCTAATTTCTGCAAACATTGAGGTAGTAACTTCAATAGATGTCAAATCCACAGCCATGTTCCATGTTTATTAAAGTTTTATTAGTATGTTTAAATAAATATGTAACCAATCAAATAACATATAATTCACCAAAACTAATGTGTAAATATAGAAAATTCTGATCTGAAGTACGAGTAACACATGCAACGAAAATATGTACCCTACCTTCGTGTATGTTGACATATGTGTTAATACTCAGACCACCCATTTCAAAATCAAGCAATATTCCAGCAGAACCATCGGTAGCCTCAATATGCCATTGACAAGTGTAGTTTCCAGTCTGTCTGTTCCTTCATAATATCAAAATATAATGGATGTTAATGTTTCGAATGAAATATACTGTTTATTGCGAAAAGTACTAATTGTAACAGGAACAGGCTATATCACTTAACTTGTAAAGGATATTGATGAAAGTTGCTGTTATGTTCATAATGTCATATACACTAACATATTGCAATTTCATTTACTACATAATTCTCTCAAATGGACCACTGATAAGGACTTTGATCTTTCGGTCATGTGAGCTTTTTTGCGCATATGAGTATATTGCTCTAGCAAGCTTTTATATCATTGTACATGAACTTTTCGCAAAGGAATCTGACCACCGGTGTCAGTATCTTCCTATAGTTGTTAGCTTGATGAGCTGCTTTTTATTGCCCAACAGTATAAGAAGTGGGTGGATGTTTGCTTGAATTTTATTGTTACTCATTAAATGTACTTATCAGTATTTAACATAAATATAATCATGCTGCTCAATTCATCAATACATCTTATACATTTTACTACTCCCAACTACAAACAGGGAATTAAGGATCCCCCATTCTTAAAGTCATCTGATCTGATGCATTTATTTCTGCTTACACTGTTATATGCTTATGTGAATTAAAAGTATAAATATACAATAAATACCTATAAAGATATTATCTGTAAGTTCTTTATGCTACGTATATATCCATGGCAACTATCACAAACACATTGGATAAAAATTGTCCATCCTTCCACAGCAGAATCTTACTTAGGTAGATAAAGTCATTGACTGACTAATTAGAATCTTACTTAGGTGGATAAAGTCATTGACTGACTAATTAGAATCTTACTTAGGTGGATAAAGTCATTGACTGACTAATTAGAATCTTACTTAGGTAGATAAAGTCATTGACTGATTAATTAGAATCTTACTTAAGTAGATAAAGTCATTGACTGACTAATTAGAATCTTAGGTAGATAAATCATTGACTCATTGACTGATAAATTAGAATCTTAGGAAGATAAAGTCATTGACTGACTAATTAGAATCTAAGGTGGATAAAGTCATTTACTGACCAATGAGAATCTTACTTAGGAAGATAAAGTCATTGACTGAATAATTAGAATCTTCTTAGGTAGATAAAGTCATTGACTGACTAATTAGAATCTTACTTAGGTAGATAAAGTCATTGACTGACTAATTAGAATCTAAGGTAGATAAAGTCATTGACTGACTAATTAGAATCTTAGGTAGATAAAGTCATTGACTGACTAATTAGAATCTTAGGTAGATAAAGTCATTGACTGACTAATTAGAATCTTACTTAGGTAGATAAAGTCATTGACTGACTAATTAGAATCTTACTTAGGTAGATAAAGTCATTGACTGACTAATTAGAATCTTACTTAGGTAGATAAAGTCATTGACTGACTAATTAGAATCTTACTTAGGTAGATAAAATCATTGACTGACTAATTAGAATCTTACTTAAGTAGATAAAGTCATTGACTGACTAATTAGAATCTAAGGTAGATAAAGTCATTGACTGACTAATTAGAATCTAAGGTAGACAAAGTCATTGACTGACTAATTAGAATCTAAGGTAGATAAAGTCATTGACTGACTAATTAGAATCTTAGGTAGATAAAGTCATTGACTGACTAATTAGAATCTTAGGTAGATAAAGTCATTGACTGACTAATTAGAATCTTAGGTAGATAAAGTCATTGACTGACTAATTAGAATCTTACTTAGGTAGATAAAGTCATTGACTGACTAATTAGAATCTTACTAATTAGGTAGATAAAGTCATTGACTGACTAATTAGAATCTTACTTAGGTAGATAAAGTCATTGACTGACTAATTACAATCTTACTTAGTTATATAAAAAAATTGACTGACTAATTAGAAACTTAGGTAGATAAAGTCATTGACTGTCTAATTAGAATCTTACTTAGGTGGATAAAGTCATTCACTGACTAATTAGAATCTTACTTAGGTAGATAAAGTCATTGACTGACTAATTAGAATCTTAGGTAGATAAAGTCATTGACTGACTAATTAGAATCTTACTTAGGTAGATAAAGTCATTGACTGACTAATTAGAATCTTAGGTAGATAAAGTCATTGACTGACTAATTAGAATCTTACTTAGGTAGATAAAGTCATTGACTGACTAATTAGAATCTTAGGAAGATAAAGTCATTGACTGACTAATTAGAATCTTAGGTAGATAAAGTCATTGACTGACTAATTAGAATCTTACTTAGGTAGATAAAGTCATTGACTGACTAATTAGAATCTTACTTAGGTAGATAAAGTCATTGACTGACTAATTAGAATCTTACTTAGGTAGATAAAGTCATTGACTGACTAGAAATTAGAATGACTTACTTAGGTAGATAAAGTCATTGACTGACTAATTAGAATCTTACTTAGGTAGATGAAGTCATTGAATGACTAATTAGAATCTTACTTAGGTAGATAAAATCATTGACTGACTAATTAGAATCTTACTTAAGTAGACAAAGTCATTGACTGACTAATTAGAATCTTACTTAGGTAGATAAAATCATTGACTGACTAATTAGAATCTTACTTAAGTAGACAAAGTCATTGACTGACTAATTAGAATCTAGGGTAGATAAAGCCATTGACTGACAAATTGGAATGTTACTTATGTCGATAAAGTCATTGACTGACTAACTAGAATCTTACTTAGGTAGATAAAGTCATTGACTGACTAATTAGAATCTTATTTAGGTAGATAAAATCATTGACTGACTAATTAGAATCTTACTTAAGTAGATAAAGTCATTGACTGACTAATTAGAATCTTACTTAGGTAGATAAAGTCATTGACTGACTAATTAGAATCTAAGGTAGATAAAGTCATTGACTGGCTAATTAGAATCTTACTTAGGTAGATAAAGTCATTGACTGACTAATTAGAATCTTACTTAGGTAGATAAAGTCATTGACTGACTAATTAGAATCTAAGGTAGATAAAGTCATTGACTGACTAATTAGAATCTTAGATAAAGTCATTGACTGACTAATTAGAATCTTAGGTAGATAAAGTCATTGACTGACTAATTAGAATCTTACTTAGGTAGATAAAGTCATTGACTGACTAATTAGAATCTTACTTAGGTAGATAAAGTCATTGACTGACTAATTAGAATCTTACTTAGGTAGATAAAGTCATTGACTGAATTAGAATCTTACTAGATAAAGTCATTGACTGACTAATTCTTACTTAGGTAGATAAAGTCATTGACTGACTAATTAGAATCTAAGGTAGACAAAGTCATTGACTGACTAATTAGAATCTTACTTAGGTAGATAAAATCATTGACTGACTAATTAGAATCTTACTTAAGTAGATAAAGTCATTGACTGACTAATTAGAATCTTACTTAGGTAGATAAAGTCATTGACTGACTAATTAGAATCTTAGGTAGATAAAGTCATTGACTGATTAATTAGAATCTTACTTAGGTAGATAAAGTCATTGACTGACTAATTAGAATCTTAGGTAGATAAAGTCATTGACTGACTAATTAGAATCTTAGGTAGATAAAGTCATTGACTGACTAATTAGAATCTTACTTAGGTAGATAAAGTCATTGACTGACTAATTAGAATCTTAGGTAGATAAAGTCATTGACTGACTAATTAGAATCTTAGGTAGATAAAGTCATTGACTGACTAATTAGAATCTAAGGTAGATAAAGTCATTGACTGACTAATTAGAATCTTACTTAGGTAGATAAAGTCATTGACTGACTAATTAGAATCTTAGGTAGATAAAGTCATTGACTGACTAATTAGAATCTACTTAGGTAGATAAAGTCATTGACTGACTAATTAGAATCTTACTTAGGTAGATAAAGTCATTGACTGACTAATTAGAATCTTACTTAGGTAGATAAAGTCATTGACTGACTAATTAGAATCTTACTTAGGTAGATAAAGTCATTGACTGACTAATTAGAATCTTAGGTAGATAAAGTCATTGACTGACTAATTAGAATCTTACTTAGGTAGATAAAGTCATTGACTGACTAATTAGAATCTTACTTAGGTAGAAAAAGTCATTGACTGACTAATTAGAATCTTACTTAGGTAGATAAAGTCATTGACTGACTAATT